TATTTGTAAGTTGGAACATAATGAAGTAGTTGTGAATTTTTCAATTTTAGTTTTCATTTGTTATTTGTTAGATTTGAAGACAACTTTTATGTAGTTTGTGAAGAACAAATTAACTAATTAATTGTTATCTAGTGTATTTTAATTTTGAATATATATATATATATATATATATATATATATATATATATATATATATATATATATATATATATATATATATATATATATATATATATATACTACAACAAGATAACATCGTCAACATCTTCCGAAATATTTTCTAATGTAACTTTACTAGATCTTCATATATATATATATATATATATATATATATATATATATATATATATATATATATATATATATATATATATATATATATATATATATATATATATATAAAGCAACAATGGTGTTGGAAACTTCTTTGAAATGTGTTGCCTTGTTATGAATGTGGTTTGGTCTTAGTTATAGGAATATGATGCAAGAAGCAATTGTTAATAGTGAAACTAAAACCATGATAGGCCAAACCAAAAACTCCGCCTAGTAAAAGTCCAAGATAAACAATATGATTCTCATTATATAAAAATATTGAGTTTGGTTTCTTTATCCTCATATGTTAAATGATGGTTTATTAGGTTACAATAAAATGTTCAATACGGAAAATTATTTAACAATTAAGAAAGGCTATATGCATGCAACTTAAAAGAATCTATGTCAACGTGAAAATTTAATTCAATGTAAAAATTATTTACTCAAGCTTGATTTGACTAATTAAATATGAATTATGAATCTGCAATAAAAGTATTGACACTGTTGTCTAAGTAGGGATTTCATTGGAGCTTCCTCGTTGTGAAATTTGATAATGTAAAAAAAAAACAGTGAAGTAATTTTTTTTTTTTTTTATTCTAAATGTTTTTTAGGTAATGTACATATTTCCACCTTTATAATTTTTATCTTTTTCTTACTTGAGAGCAGGTAAGGTTCAAGCTTGGAGAGATTTGATAGAAGTTATTTTTGTTCATCTTTAATGGTAGTTTTTGTTAGCATTTAACATCATATTCTCTACATTTGCATATCGTTTGTTTAAATAATGTTCATCTCATATTTTTTTATCAGAATTCCCATACTGCTAGCATTTTTCGTGTTATTTTAAGATATTTCGAGTGGAGCAGTACTTTGTGAGTAGCTGGATGCATATTTGGAGCTTAAATGGAACTGGAACTGAAGAAGAAAGCTAATAAATAACAAAAAGTGCTTAAACTGAAGAATCGCATCCAAAACGAGCTAGAAACCTAGATTTGTGATTGCATTTTCAGTATATGCGATCACATTTTTGCCACAAAGTTTCCCAATGGCGAAATAAGTCATTTGGAGGCCTTTTGAGCTGAAAAGACCAAATATTCGATCACATATAGTCAACCTGCAATCATATTTTCGTGTCTCAACTCTAGAAACTTCAAATTTGGCTTCATACTTCATTCGGATGCAATCCTATAAAATTTTCAAAAACTTGTGATCGTATATCTCCAAACCTGTGATCGCATGTTTGTCCAAAAGGCCCAGAATGGCAACGCACTTTATTAAATCAACATGTTATGTGTTTTTATGAAAATATGTGATCGCATATGACCAACCTGCGATCGCATTTTTTTGTTTCTTTCTCCGGAAATTTCTATCTCGCGTATAAATATGATCCTCTTTATTATATTTAGGGGTTAGACGATTCTAGATGATAGAATACCCTTCTGAAGATGATTTCTTACACCCTTCAATGATTTCTGAAGATTTGAAGGTTACGAATCATCTCATTTGTTTAGTTTAGAAGATTAATTAGTAAATGTTTCTTTTTATTAGTTTAGTTTCATTTTTATTCATGTCTGGCTAAAACCTAGTTTTCAGATTTGCATAGAATACTACTTTTCATGTGATTAGTTTTCACATCTGGTTTTTGTTTTGTGTTTCGATCTATATTTTTCATTTTTGAGCTTAATGAATGTTTGGTTTTAAATTCTTGTTAGTCTGATCACCTAGTTGAGGTTTTATTATTCCAGTTAATCCGTTAATAGAATCCGTAATTATTCTTGTCAACTGGTAATAAGTAACAAATATCAGATTGGTTCCGTGTTGGGATTTAACTCTGATATAAACTATAAAGATCATATATTTACACTTCCAAGCTTGTGAGAAGTATTGGGTATTGCTTAGAATTTTACACGGAACTTAATGCAATTTTTCTTATTTAATTAAGAGCTTGTTTAATTGAACAGTAAAAAGTTAGGGTTAATTCAAAGAGCTTGTTCTGATTAACTAAATTAGGTAAAAGAGATTATACTAGAGCATGTTAGATTTTCTCAGTACTAGCTTAGATAAAACGCATTCTAAATAACCTGAACTGATTGCATGATTAGGAAAGTCGCAATATAACTAAAATCATTTTTATTATTGATTTTCGTTTAATCTAGTTTCACTATAAATTTTAGTTTTTTTAGTTAATTCAAAAACCCCTTTTTATATTTTCTGTTTTTTGACTAGAATGTGCTTGAAGCAAAAATGCATTGACCATTAGGCTATGTCCCTAAAGATTCGACCCTGCTTCCATGTGTTATATTTTTAGTGTAACTAGGAGTGAAAATTTTATTTGTTTAAATCGGGTGCGACTACCGATTTAACATGCTCCTTTGTGGAAAAGCCATAAATGACGAAATGGATTCAATATGGGTAATGGAATATGGGAGTTAGCTGATCTACCCAAGGGGAAGAGACCCACCGGATCCAAATTGATATTCAAGAGAAATTATCATCCAGATGGATCCATATCTACCTATAAAGCAAGAATAGTTGCTAAAGGCTACATGTATCAAGAAGGGATCGATTATTTTGATACTTATGCCCAATTGCTAGGATCAGTTCTATTAGAACTCTCGTAGCAATATCAGTTTTGAAAGGATTGTATATTCATCAAATGGATGTGAAGACAACCTTTCTCAAAAAATACTCTATTAAAAAATATTTTATTAATTGTTAAAAAAATATTTTATATTTTACAAAATAAAAATTAACAAAATAATTGTCAAAAAACAACTCTTCATTTTATAAACAATCTTTTTAATCAAAATAATTCTCAAAAAATACTCTATTAAAAAAAATTAAAAACGTAGTTTTTTTGACAAAACCGGAGAATAAAAAAAAACATATTTTTTCCCCAAAACCGTAGGTTACGGTTTGGGAAACCTTAGTTTATACAGAGCAAACTGTCGGTTATAACAAAACCTACGGTTTTATATCTTAAAAATGAAAAATAAAAATTATACAAAACATGAAACAAGAGACGAATTAGAGAAACAGTAGACGAGTATAAATAACTACTGTTTCGTGAGCTAATTTGGCACAAAGCCTAATTTTTGGCTAAAATTGTTAATCACCTCCCTAATTTGGTTAGTTTAATAATTCCCCTATATAATATTAGTTGTTTAAATATAAATATGTTAATTATCTTTATGCAAACAAATTTTTATATGTAATTGTTTAATTATGAAAAAGAAAAGGAGGCAATGTAATATTTTAAGATTAAGTAATTTTATTTTAGTGTGATTATTTTATTAGTTAACATTTTATATAAAGATCAATATCGTTTAGAAACAAATCGAGACGAATCAAATACTAATGTTAGTTGTTTAAGTATGAATATGTTAGTTATCTTTATGCAAACAAGTTTTAATATGTAATTGTTTAATTATGAAAAAGAAAAATGAGACAATGCAATATGCTAAGCTTGAGTATTTTATTTGGCGACTATTTTACTAGTTAACATTATTATATAATCCAGATGAACATAATTTAGAAACAAATCGAGACGCAACAAATACCCAAAAAATGCGTTTGCCGGGAGTCGAACCCGGGTCTATTGCTTGGAAGGCAATTATCCTAACCGTTGGACTACAAACGCTTGGTGTTCTTAGTATCACACTACCTCAGCTATATCATATTAAGTTGGCAATTTTTTTGTTCATGAAATTAGCGGGTTTTCCTTTGCGTTAATACATGTCCCTGTCATTACTTTACATCAATTTTCTTGTCTCTATCATTACTTTATAACAATTTTCTTTATATGGTGTTTATTTGACAAAATGACTTGTTAACATAAAAATCATTTAGTTTGTCAAGTTTTGTCTCATTTATCAATAGGATGATTTTTTGTTTGTTTATGTCCTTAAGTTTTTCAAGTTTTTTCGTTATTATCCCTTTTACATGTAGGTTTTCATTATTGCAAGTAAAAAAGGCAAAAACGAAAAAATTTGAAAAACTTAAGGATATAAACGAATAAAAAATCATTGCACCGACAAAACCAATAATATTTGACAAATTTAAAGACCGACATGTCAATAGATAAATTTGTGAGTTTTTAACTGAATAATAGTAGTTAAAAAATATGTTTACCTATTAATTGTGTTTTCTATTATTTTATTTATTTATTTTTGGCGGTCCTTCAAGAGCATCATTCTCTATCACATCTCTTCCCTAATGTATTTATTATTGTGTTTTTATGTGAACACAAATTTATTTCATGTTTTATACATATAATATATATATATTTTCATTTTTTTCATCCATAGATTACTTTTATAATACATTATCAAGGAAAGTTACTTTCATTTTTCAAAATCACATCTTAAACCTTATAGTTTTGAATATCACTTCTAATAAAGATGCTAACAAAATCATTTATTAATATGTAGGCATTTCATTCGCTTAAAAAAAAGCCTTTTTCGCATTCGTTAACAAACATCATTATCTATTTGAACTTTAAAAGGAATAAAAAAACCCTTTAGTCTTGAGACTTGAGACCAAAAAACTAAAAACCAACAGTTGCATTTGGTTACGATATGAATCTGAACCTTGAGAATCTAGAAGTACATGTTTACGTAAATTTAGCTAAGTTATCTCCAGATGAAAAGTTTCCATACCCTAAACACCTCTATAAAGAATGATATTTTACCAAATCTACATTCCATCTCCAAGAATTATATCATTTCTCATAAATAAAATTTTTACAATTTTATCTGTTTCACTATCAAAAACCCAAATTCGAAAATCCATTTCCATATCTTTTTCTGTTTCTTATATGAACATTACAATAAACAAAAGTACAAAACTACCAATGTAGCCTAAAACTTGCAGCTTGCATGATTGGATGTGCAAAATATGCTCCAAGAGTCAATCCCGTAATAACCACATATGGCAACCTTATAAACTCTTTATAATAATCTTTTGGTAATTTCTGGCGTCCATCAATAATAGCCGCAAATGGCAACACACTTGTTCGACTTTTCACAATTTCAAAAGCTTCACCATGTCTTATTGCTAGCCTCCTATCTCCATTCCAAGCACCAAATAGATGATGCCCGATTAGCCCTACTGATGCTGATACTGCTACTGAGTTCCCTATCCAGATCGTGTGGGCCACGCACCACATCACCTGTCCTACCAACTAAAAAAAATAGCACCGTTTGAGTAAAGACTGTTACAGTGTCAGTATCAGTGTCAGTATCATTTAATACCTGTGGATGTCGAGTGATTCTCATGATACCACTTTCCCAAAGATGCATTTTGGGCTTATCAACAGCGGCTACTTCTAATAAATTAAAGGTCGATGGGTAAAGAAAGAAGAAGGATATGAAATTAGTGACCCATAAAAGATGATGTAACCATGGGATACTTTGTAGTTGCCATAACTGAACACCATCGTATCTATGGTTGATGAAATACACCTGAGAATCATTAAGTGTTTTATGTTATTTAAAATAGATTAAAATCGTTACTTGAGAACACATTTGGAAAAATGAGAACTTACAATTGTACTAACTGCAAGAGGAAGAGAAGTTCCAGCGAACAACACACGAAAAGCTCTCTCTCCGATTAGTTTTTCACCAGGGTCTCTTAGGGTAGCCAATCCGCTATGTACAATGGCAAAAATTAGGGTAAGGAGGAACATTGCAACCTACATACGAAATTGGATTATTCAACCATAAATCTAATCATCTATAACATCAATTGGAGTATTCAATTCCCGAATGGGGTTAGATTTCAATTCGATTGATATGCACAAATTGGATGAAGAATTTATAAACAATCAATTCGATTAGATGAAGAAGTAGATAGGAAAACTAACCTCCGGGCTTTCAGAGACGCTAGAAACGGAATCGATGAAAACTTTACCAAATCCAGTAGAATTGTCGAGCCAAGCAATATCGAGAATGAAAAGAACAACCCCCAAAACCACAGTAAAATAAATCCAAGATGTAATCTTTTGCTTCGCTAAGTCGAAATTTGCTGAATCCTCACCCACCAGAACATCCTTGGAAACACTCGTGTCGGATTCTCCGATAACGAATACTCTGCGGTTTTTCCTCAAATAGTTTGAAGGCAGTAATTGGGTGTTCTTTAGAAAACCTCTATTCGAACAGGTGATAATTGGTGTTACAGTGCGATTGAGTTTGAGTGGGGAGAAGATGGATTTGGGAGTTCCACGGAATTGAGGGAGGGAGGAGAAGGAACTTGAGAGGAGAATTGAGGTGGCCATTTGTGTGTGGATTTGCACTTTTGAGTGTGTGTTTATTTTAAGCATTTTGTACCCGAAAACAAGGAAAAAGGGTATCTGGACGGAGTTGTGCTGCTGGTTTGGTTTTTGTGTTATTATGGAGGGAAGGGTAGAGTCACATTAAGGTGAGGGGACTTTGAGAACATTATAAAATGATAAAAGATGCCGTCTAACTTTTTTATTTCATGTAATTATTATACATGTTAAAAAACAAAGCACCTAATCTACATTAAGGTCGTGTATGGATTTGGGTCGGTTTTGGACTCAAATCCAAACCCAACTCATATATCTTTGGTTTCTGGTTTTAAGAACCCAATAAGATCGGATCGGTTTCTGATCAGTTCGGTTTCTTGGGTTCTGAGATCGGTTTGATCCGTTTTTCGGTTTCTTGGGTTCAACCCATACCCTCACGAGTTCCGGGTTTAAACCCATGGATTTTGGATATTAACCCATTTTCCAAAAATGAAGCAAGAAGTTGAATACTTCAAAAACACCAAACTGAAGTTAAATACTTTATAAAAAAAATGAGTTTTACAACCAAATAGTCAATTACAAGTTACAACCAAAGCCTAAAATAGTCTATTACAACCAAAAAACAATTAAGCATGTATCGGTTTCTCGGGTTGGAGGTCGGTTTCTTAGGACGGTTTGTCGGTTTTAAGTATGGGTTGGTTTCTCTCGTTGGATGGGTCGGTTTATGGGTAAAAACCGAAACCGAATCCGATTTTTAAGTTTTTAAAAAATTCAAACCCTAACCGTCGGTTTTGCTTTGGTTTTGGTTTTTTCGGTTTCGATTTCGTCGTTTTTAGTCGGTTTCTCGGTTTCTTGGTTTGGTTCTGCTCACCGCTAATCTACACCGTGAAGTTTAGAGCCGACTCAAATAACCGGTTGTTTGGAGTTGGATGGATTTCATCGTTGTGACGTTCATCTGTTGCAACGCCTACTTCAATGATTTCATCTAGGTATGTAACCCTTCATCTATTTTGCTTCACCCACTGAATACTTCATCTATTTTGTATCTCTCTCTATTCGATTAGGGTTCCACCGATAGTGTAACACCCGCAACTTCAAGCTAGACAATTAAAATATAATAAGAAATAAAATCGACATTTTGATAGAATAATATTTAGGATAAATAACCTTAACTAAAGTTATAGTATATGTGACAATGATTTCGTACATATAAAGAACTCTTAAATCCGACTCGGTATGAAGAAGTTATGATTCTTCCAAGGGAAAATGAGGGAAGTCACTGCACCGATTGATGAATTGGTATTGAATGAGGGTCACTCTAAAGAGGGAAACTATAGTAGGACTGTAGATCAAACTAAACCACAAGTGGTTAGAAGGAACAACCTTGACCATGAGGTTAAGAGGAATGGATGCAAGTGAAAGGACTTCATGGCTTCCAAATCGCCAAGTCTTTCTAGGAGCCCAACACCAGTGGAAGCTATGGATTGGATCTATGAAATAAAGATGATGTTTGATAGTTGGGACTGCAACAACAGACAGAAGAGCATCTTAGTGGTCAGACAGCTAAAGACTGGAGTATTGAGCTAGTGGAAGTTGTTGGTTGATTTTATGCCAAAAGGAGAAGCAATGAAGATGTCTTGGGAGAACTTCCTTGAGGAGTTAAAAAGGAAATAATGCACAGAACAAGATCTTCTGGAGATCAACAACAAATTCTAGAATTTGAAGAGACGAAAGATGAGTATCAGCAAGTATGTTGCAGCTTTCACTGAAAAAATGAAGCTAGTTCCGAACTTGGTTCCTACCGAACTTTCCAAAGTAAATAAATTTGTTATGGGACTACTAGCGGATTTTGGTCCAATGGTCAAACTAGCGAACACTCTAAAAGCAACCATATGGGCAGCTAGGAATGTAGAGATCCGGATAAAGGAAAAGGGTATGGAGAAAGCTGAAACTGGAGAGAAAAGGAAATTTGAAGGATTTTCAAGGTCCGTTAAAAAGATCAGATTTCCAAAGTCCGTCCCCAGCGACAAGAGGTCTGGGGATATCAATGAGGCAAAGTGGTGCAAGAAGTGTAGGAAGAAACACTTCGGAAGATGCATCAATAAAGTAACTTTCTTCAATTGTGGAAAGACTGGTCATTACGCCAGTAACTGCACCCAAAGCGTGTGTTATAAATATGGAGAATATGTTAGGTTAGGTGGTGGCCAACCAAAGAAGTTTTTGGTCAAAAAGGAAGAAAATGTGGCATATGAAAATCAAAAGTGGTTAACCCACTTTTGAATACGATAATTTTTTGGTGGAGTAGCTCAACAACAAATTCTCTTTGACTTTGGAAGGATAACTCCTCTATAAATAGAAGCAGCCAAATCAAACAACACAACATCACAAAGAATAGATACACAAATAAAATACTAAGGTACTAATTTTTTTTGCAGAGCCTTAATTTTACCATCCAAAAATACGAGTGATATCTTATAGTGAGTAAACATATTACAAGTGCAGTTTTAGCCTTGTATGATTGTAATTTTCTTTGGTGTTAAATAAAATCTCCTCTCTCTCGTTCGCCCATGGATATAGGTCAGATTAGACCGAACCATGTTAAATATCGTGTTCAGTTTCGTTTGCAATTTTTCAGTAATTTTAATCTGCGAGTTTTATCGAAATTAATTGTAAATGGTGGTTGGTGGTGACGAGATCGGTGGTCGGTGGTGGTGAGATCGACGTCGATGGACGAAGTTGTGGTGAGGACGATAAAAGCAGATTTGAAGGTATATGTTCTAGATCTATAGGCCAATATTCTATATCTGTTTGAATCTAGATAGATATGGACTAGGAACTGTAACATCCCATACTTTCAGGTATTTTCAAATCCTTCCTTTGGTATTTAAATATGCCATCTTTGGTCTTTAGGTATAAATGAGTAGCCTTAAGAAGCCCTAGTGGCAAAATGGTAATTTTTAGGAGCATCCTTAAGAAGTTCAGGTATTCATTTTTGGTCCCTTATATATATCTGGTTGTTGCTTTTGGCCTTTTTTACAAGTTTGAGGGGGGGGGGGGGAGTAGGGGCCATTTCTGCTAAGTTTGGACTTTTGGGGGCGGAGCTCGAACGCGGGGCATTCCCTTGGGGAACGCATAACGTTTACACATGGAGCTCAAACCCTAACTTTGAGGGTTTGAGACATATTTAAACACCTTAAGTCCCAAGTGTTGGCCTCATTTTCCAGCCTCCATAGTTTCCAAACCCTAATCTTGAAACCCTAGAGCCTCCAAGAATGTTGTGAGCTCATTATGTGTGTTTGAATCCCATTCAAGGAAGAGAAGCTTGGTGCAAGGTGGTGGTTTAAGTAGGAGCTTATAGATCTTGGTTCTTTTCTCCATTTCCGGTTCATTTGAGGTATAAAGCTCTAACATTGCTCGTTAGAAGCTTAGATCTTAGTCTTAAGGGATTCTAGTCTCTTTTTGGTCCCATAGTTGAGGTATATTAGTTTGTGATCATTTCAGAAGCTTTGAGTTGCTCCTCTTTGTGTTTCTGAGGTCCTAGATTCATAAAGGTTAAATCTTTAGATTTGTATAAGCTCCATGCATGAGGTTAATTCCTTTTATGGAAGTTGAGTACTATATATTGAAGTTAAGACCTTTTGGAGCATGCAAAATCACCAAGTCAGTGACTTTATGGTTCTAGATGTTCTTTAGGAATTGGATCTATGCTTTGGTCATGTGGCTTCAAGTATTAAATGCTTAATGATCATTTTTGGAAGTCAGCATGCGAACGCCCAAAGTTCCGGCTAAGGTTCGCGATTTGGTGGCTGGTGACAAACGCCCAACCTTAACCAATAAGAACTCAATCCTTAAAGTTGATGCCCAATACGTTCCAAAAGAGGTTCTAGCACTAAAACCATCCTAAAGGTCGGATCTTTATAGACATGCATGTCCAATGCATGTCTTGAACACAAATTAAGTCAATAATGAGGATTATGAACTAATCTCAATGCATGACATCAAAACTCAACTATAAGCCAGATCCAATACTCTACAAGGTCCCCTTGACATGGGGATTCATAAAGTTACAAACTTTATGAGATCTAACCCATCCAATTCTCAAGAATAAGAAGCTAAAGGGAAAAAACGCAAGATATAGTAACATAGAATGAAAAAATTCGGATCTTGGACACTTACAAAGGTCCAGAAGAGTGCCAAGCTGAAAGACGAGGAACTTGCTTGCTGGATCTTGCCTTCCTTCTTCCAATTTCTTCCTTCTTTGGCTCCAAAAACACTACACTAACTCACAAAATAAGAGGGAAATATGATTAGGGGTTCCTTCAGGGCTTGAGGGCTAATAGGGGTTAAGGGTGAACAAACCCAAGCCATCTCATTCCTTTAAATAGGGAGCAAAACCCGGAAGATTAGGTTTTCATTTCCAGCGACCAACACGTTGTGTTCTAGGAGGCAACACGTCGTGTTGTTCTTAATAAGGCCCGTGTCTTTTCTTATCTCGACATGTTATGTTGGTGCCTCCAACATTCCGTGTCCAATCCCAAAAGGTGATTTATACCCAAAGTTGCTCCTCAAATTCTGTGTGTTACATTGTGATTGCGAAGATTTCTTCCTTTTTAATCGGTTGTTTGTTTGTCTCCTTTCGGGTTTTCTCATCTTTCTGTTTGGACTTGAACTTTGATCGTAAAGTCTTCGCGTTGTTAAGTTTCCGCTCAATCTCTTTTCTTCTACTTCTTTTTTGAGGATTGTGCACTCTCCCATGTTATGGGTTTTGCTCTTGTGATATTCGTAATATTTTCTCTTCTTTTATTCTATTCGCTGAGGGGTTTTTTCCACCGCATGCACTTCCATCTTGTGGCTCCTTGGCCCATCCTTGATGAATAAGCGGAATTTGCGAAATGAGTGTATGTGGTACTTATCCATACTTCCATTGTTGCGATCCTTGTGGCTATGGTGGTAGTGGGAGCTGGCTGATTCTTGTGACAACCCGAAATTTCTTCCTTGTACAAAAGACTAATTTAATCCAAGTTAAACTCGCTTTGCTAACTTTTAGCACTATTTGGGGTCTATTGGAGTGTTCTAAACCTAGTATAATTACGGTAGGAACCTAGATGTGGGATAGCACGATGCATATCAAGCAAAA